TTTTACAATTAAATGTACTTAAGGAATGATGTGCATTTCTGAATCATTGTCCCTTTTCCTGACCTTGAATCATTCAAAATATCTATGGCCAGTAGGACTGAGATCCAGGCTCCAAAGGAAGCCAAAACAGACAGGAGGGAAGAGCAAGGGGCAAAGTGCTGTTGCAATTTCTGCATCCTGAGCCTGCATAATATGTGCTCAGAACTTTTCACTAGGCTTTTCCGGTTCATTGTTGCAACAGTTTCTTGGTGTTAGATCATTGTAAGCCCCCAATAAGGCTTAGTTTTTTTATTTTTAATGATTCTTTTTGTTAGTAACTAAGTAATCTGTTGGGATTAACCTCAACAGAGTGCAGGGCCCTAGAGCCCAAGGAAAGAGGATGTTAGGATATTGGGGAGGTCTATTATACCTCTTTAATCTTCATTTCCCTTCCACAAATGTAGGCAGATCCCTGCAAAATCTTTAAGTGACAAAGTCTTTCATTACACAATTGGAAACAAAGCTTAAAATATAGCTAATCCAGGGAAAAGGAACATAGCTACTTAAATTTATACTAATGAGTAAATGACTGCTACTATAGACTCCTAGAGGGTCTATTAGATTTGGAAAGGGCTTCACAGCCCCAAGCCTAAGCTTGTTATTTTAAGGAGGGGAGGGTTGAGAATTGACTTGCCCAAGGTCTTACATAAATTTTGAAGTACATTTTTTTTTTTTTCTGAAAGAGAGTTTTAATACGGGAGCACCTTAAGGGGCATTGTAAACAGACATTTGTGATCAGTTTTACCAAGGGCCAGTTCTGGGGGATTCCAAAGCCAACTATAACCTCAGGTCAATTTTTAAAGGTAGTTGATCACTAGTGCTTAAAACACACTCTTCCCCCTGGCTCTGCCCTGGCGGGATTCACCAAAAGTTCATGTGTCTTATTCCTTTTTGTTATCTTAGCATCTAGTAGAGTGTCTGCCTCATAAAAGGCATTCAGTGAGTGTTTGATGTAAGACTGAATGTTTTCAGAAACAGGGAAGGCTTTTCACTGTATCCTCCATACTCTCTCATTCTGCCTCCTGTGTACACATTGCTTAAATAACTGTTCAGGTTAGAGATTTTGCCCTTGGGTGGGACTAATAATTGTGTCAATGGTCAGAGACCAAAGTGAAGAAGGCTACCCAGCTCACCCAGGATTGAACCCACACCCCTAGCCTTCCTTAAAGCATATGAGGAGATAGTCAGACTATAATCTGAGATGTTAGAAGCAAATATTATGGAATCCATGTATCTCTGAAGGCCAGAGTCACCAAGTCTATATCTCTGACCATTGCGGGCATCCTAAGTCAGGGAATCCAGCCTGCAAGTGGGAGCCGGCACACCTTCTCCAATAAGCTTTTCTTACTTTCTTGGGAGGAACCCCTCCCTGGTTGTGGTTGGGGCTACAGAGAAAGAGTAAAGGGGGAACCATAGGATTGTGGATAAGTTACTCAGATACTCATGGCTTGTGGGAAGGAAGGAAGAGTTTGATCTGTCAAGACCTGCCCTTAGCTTTAATCTCACAGTGCCCATGCCCACCAATTCTACTTGTTTATTCTCTCCCTTTGCTGGTTCACCTACACTCACCTGCAAGGACTGGGCCCAGGCATGGCCCCTGGCCCCAAGCATGCCTACCTCTGAGCTGCCTTGATTAAGTCCCACTGCTCATGCCTTCTGTGTTCATGGCAAAAGTTTTCAGTCAGGGATGATAATGAGGAGACAAGGCAGCCCTTGGGGCAGGGTTACCCATCAGCCCTAGACAAAAACAAGATCCAGCAACAAAGCCCATTCCTGTTGGCTGATGGCTCGGCATTGGCTGAGAGTCCAGAGAGCCTTCAGTTGGTCTGAACCAATGAAAAGCAGCCAAAGATACACTCTCTCTGGCCATTAAAGAGATATTTCCACCTATGATTGGCCCCAGGGTACTTCACCTCAGGGTTCTCCTATTGGCCTGGAATAGCATGCTGGCAGCTAGGGCACCCTGTGGTGAGCAGGCACCTACGTAGGCATGCAGTAAAGCACAGCCTGCTGCTGGGCACTCAGGGGACAGGCAGATAGAGGAGGAGGTATCAAGATCCTCTCTCTGCTTAACTGGTGACATCTTGGGGTCCACCCACTTCTCCTTTTTGTGCCTCTCCCCTCGGGCTGGGCCTGCTCGCTCTCCTGGTCCCATTCCCCAAAGGACTTCGATTCCCAGGTATGGTGGTGACTGGCAACACAGGGTAAGATGTAGCCTTTTCTTAGGGTTATTTGCATTGTTGTAGGGGATCCTGAAATCTGAAAAGTGGTGGTGGTCCAAATACATTGTAGGTTCATAGAATTTTGGTGCCAAAAGGGAACTTTGAAATAGTTTCCATTTTACAGATGAGGAAGAAAACTGAGATGGACTCCAAGAAGTAATAGAATTTGGTCAAAATCATATAGCTAGTTAGTGGCAAGTCTCCTGACCATAGGCAAGGGCATTTCTGATGCATCACAAATGAATCTTAAACTGTGGTATTTCATGAACATTTCTACTGTTCTTCAAACCACTGTTTTTCTGTCCTTAGGAAACTCCTAGTTCCACTGGGGAGATCTTCAGATCACAAATTAATGACTTAATTAACATTTACAACAAGCTTTTGGCTGTGTCTTCAGTGTATGAAGAAGGGGGCTTGTGACATGGGCTTTCTCTCTGTTTACCCTCTTTTTGTGATTACCAACCCACAGTAGTGAATTGACTGTGACTAGGGCTCTGGAGTCATGTAATCAGCTATCTAGCTAGGAAGTTGTACAACTGGTGACTCTGGCCACTAGCACCGTGATGTTTGAGCCATCACTATTCAAGATGCAGCAAAGAAACAAGTCAGTTACTAAGTGGAAAAAGGTCTGAGTCTAAGCTACTGCCATATCAATACCAGTGCTTCATTTTTCATGCATTTAGCCTCCAAATCCCCTTTAGGTTAGAGACCTGGGTTTATTTGTTCATATATTAGGTGGGACCCTGAACAGTCCTGAAATCCTGGCCCTGGGTAGCTCTGTATCATCAACAACAATGATAAGCATAAAGGGTTTGGGATTACTCAATCCAGCTTTCCCCCATTGTGTCTGTTTTCTTCATGCTTCTACCTTTCGCATTCTCCTTTTTCTTATCCTTTAAAGGCCAATTTAAGTCCTGCCTTCTCCAGGAGCCTCCACTTATAATGCTACCCACGTCAATCTTTCCCTCTTTTGGATTCTTACTGTCTTTCCAGCCTATCCCTCAAAGTGACATTTCATTATATTCCATTTGTATTTATCACTATTGATTCCATGTATATCAGCCTCATCTTCTCAACAAGAGTATAAGTTCCATAAAGGCAGGCTACACATTTTATCCTTGCTAAGTGTGCCCACAATATCTGGTGGATGTTCAAATTAGACTAGAATGATAGCTTTTGTGGTGACATGGGAAATGCTCACAATATACTTAAGTGTCTAACTCAAAATACAAAAGTCTATGATCACAATTTTATAAAGACATGGAAAATAAAAGCAAGCAAGCAGAAAGGTAATACACTCAAATGTGTAAGAGGTGGGTGGGATGATAAGTGAATCTAAACATTTATATATTTACCTAACTTTTCAAAGTTTCAACAAGGAGCATGTATTACTCTTTTGAGAAAAAAGACAAAGATTATTTAAAAGAGAATCATAGATTCATGAACTCTGGAAAGCAGAGCAGAAAAAGATGGAAGAGCTCATGTAAGTCCTGTCTTACTGTTTTAAGATGGAAAAGCCTGGGGCAGAGCTATGGGAGATGCCTACCTGGTGACTCAGTTTCCATATTCTAGGAGTAAACAACCCAGTTTTCTGGAGCTCTAAGGCTGAGCCTCCTAACCTCTCCTCAAATCCACCTTCCCCTGAGCTTCTCCTCTGGGCATCGGTCCTGGAAGTGGCTGCGTGGTTTTCTCCTGATGAGGTCTCCCATGATTCTTTGGTGTCTCCTGGGTGGGGGAGCCTGAGGGTTTGGCTTTGACTCATGCTCTAGTCCCTTGCTAGCCTCTCCTGGAACTCACTGCTTTGCCTCTGAAGCATCCCAGGACAATAAGCTGTAGTATCCACACTCCCAGGTGGCTGGAAGTAAAAAACACCTAACTGTACCCTTTCCTAGAAATATATACTTACTGCACTCTGAGTACTTGCTGGGAAGGGTGATCTTGAACTAATTCCACTCAATACCTTTGCAAAGCCTTGCTGAGAACAATACTATTTAAGGAGGGCCACATGAAATTGGTGCTTGAAGCCCATCCATTCCTTTCCAACTGGACCCAACAGCCCCAGGTACTTGCCATACCCATAACTTTCCCTTCTAGTTAGGCCTACCCCACTCATAGCCAGGAAAAGGGGCTGGATGGATGTTTTATGCAGAAGAGTGGCCCAGGGATGGCCACTTGACCCCAGGCAGGCCATCTATGTTCTGGTAGCAGACCTATGTGGTAGATTTTTCTACTAGTGTTCCTCTTGCCAGCGGTGGAATCTGATGTGCCCACAATTGGTTAAAGTGATGAAGACTCTTCTTAAATGCACATTTGTCACTTGGGATGATAAACACATGTAATTCATTGTGTCCTTCTATGCTTCCATCCTTCCATCCATCCACCAAACAAGCATTGGGCTCCTATTTTTTATTTTCACTTCCCAAACCACAAAGCTCTGAAAACCAAAAACTTTCTCATAAGTTTGACGTTAAAACTCATTTTAACTTATATTATGATAGTCTTTCTTTATCCCACTTAGTGTGAACATCCATATATTTCATGACAAAAATATTAATGTATTTGATTATGGGGAGCTATGCCGCAACCTGCGAGAGGTGTTATGTGATATTGGCAAATACACATGATTACCTTGATAAAATTCCCCAAATTCTGAATTTTGAAACATTTGGCGCCAAGGATTTGAGATAAGGCACTTTAACCCTATAAGATCTAGGGAGGGGGAGGTGGTAGATACCCTACCTGAGTTGGCCAGGAACAGAAGAAACCACTCAGTGAAGGGAGTAGGCATTCAAGTCTTTAGAGAGAGAGGGCTTGCTCAGGTTCAAGCCAAGGAAATCCAGTTGGGTCACTCAGCCATTAGTCCAAAAGGAAGGAACAGGGCTGCAAACAGAAGACAGAATAAAGACTCAAGAGAAAGATGGAACTGAAATGGAACAAGAATAGTTTGAGAATGGGGAAATGAGAGGAAACTAGAAAGCAGCTGGAACAAGGTGTCTTTAACTGCAGTCAGTTGGCTGGTGGCTGTTAGGTACCAATTGGAGTCAGGTTAGCTTTAAAGTTGGAAGATTTTGGCAGGCAGATACTGAGAGAAATGAGACACAGCCTCTGTCCTCTCTTTGCCGAGAGTCTAGAATCTGCAGGATCCTGAGACAATGGACAGAAATTGGAGTCACATTAGTCTGAAACAAAGATTTGGCTTTGACTTTTTTCAATCTCTGTATTTTTAAAGCTTTATTTTTAAATTGTGAAATATACCACACATAAAGAAAAGTGCATAAATCATAAATGCACAACTTGTTCAACGAGACACCCGTGTTAATTGTTACCCAGTTAAAAATAGAATATTATCAGCATCCCTGATGCCCTACTTGTGTCCCTTCCCTAATCATAATTCCTTTCTCCCCGACTAAAAGGTAACAACTTTTTTGACTTTTCCAAAAATCACTTCCTTGCTTTTATTTATACTTGTACATCTTGGCATGCATTCCTAAACATTATAGTTTTGCCAGTTACTGACTTTTATGTAATAATTCAGTATGTATGCTTTTGTTTCTGGCTTCTTTCATTCAATATTATGTTTGTGAGATTCATCCATGTTGTTGCATAAAACTGATATTGTTCCTTCTCATTGCTGTATAATATTCCCTTTTGTGAATATGCCACAATTGAGTTTACCATTCTACTGCAGATGGGCATTTCCAGTTTGGGGCTGTTTGACTAACACTACTATGGTTATTTTTGTTTGACTTTTGGTGCACATGTGCCTGCATTTCTGTTAGTAGTGGAATCACTGAGTCATAAGCACACATTCCATTTGCTGAATGCTGCCAGTTTTTCAAAGTTTGTACCAATTTGCACTCTTTCATTGCGCCAAATCATTATTAACAGTAAGTATTGTCAGACTTTTACATTTTAATCACTCTGGTGGGTGTGCAGTGGTATCTCGTTGTGGTTTGATTTGCAATTCTCTGATGACTGAGGTTGAGCATCTTTTCATATGTTCATTGGCCTTTTGGATATACTCTTTTGTACAATTCCCATTTAAGTCTTTTGTCCATTTTATCCTACTAGATTGTCCTTTTCATATTCATTTCTAGGAGTTCTTTATGCATTCTAGATGCAAACTCTCTGTTATATGTGGTACAAATAAATTCTCCAGCACTGTGGCTTCCCATTTAATGCTTTTTGAATCTCATTTTATTCCCGTAATTTCCATCAAGCTTCCCAGGCTGAAATGTCCCCCATTTTGCTAAGGTCCTAACAAGCTCACCTGGGCCCTGAGGGATAGCTCACTAAGGCTGCAGGGCTGTTCTCTCCACCTTCCCTTCCTTCTTCCCTCCCACTTATCTGCCCTGTCTCGCTCTCCCTTTCCTCAAACTTTGCCCATTCTTGGGGGGCTGCTTATTATTCACAGATGGATAGAAACAACCTTCTTTTAACCATGGTGCCAAAACTGTCAGATTTGCCACATGCTATTAATACGTCAGAAAACCTTCACTCTGGAAAGCACTTGGAGATTATGTAGTTCTAATGATGAGGAATCGAAAGCTCAGAGAAATTAAGTGGCTTGCCCAAGATCATACTGCAAGTTAGTGGTCAACTTAGGACTAGAACTCAGGTCTCTTGCATGCATGCCCCAGCTTTTTCCACTCCATTATGCTAAGAAAGACCAGAGCACACAGCTGCACATTGACTGGAGCATTTTTTTTTCTTCTGAAAATAAGTGCTGTCTGTGTCTGTGTAACAACGTAATCGGTAGAGACTATGGCTCATGTCTGTCTGGACCCAGGTTGAGAGATCACATCACCTCTGCTACTTTCCCATCTCCTGGCTGTCAAAGCCTGAAGGACAACAAATGGCTTGAGTAATGAGATGAGTTAAGATAGTGTCTCCCACGCTGAATTATGTGCCAGTTCAGGACTACAGGATTCTGCCACAATCCATTTACACAAGAAATTAAATTGAAGATCGCAATGTAATATTCATATATTAAATCCTGGCGGACAATCAAAGTAATTAAGGCCAAATGTTCTGAATCATCCTGTGGCATCATGAACATTCTATTGCTGGGTTTTTAGAAGGACTTATTTCTACAACCAATTATCTTGGAAATCATTAAACCTCCTTTGGAATGTGAATAATTTGAAAGCTACCATGATACCCAGTGCTACTCAAACAACTTTGCCCCCATAAAAGAATAACTCTGCTAGATAGGAGTGCTGGGTAGGCAAGGAAAATCTGATTTTCAAGAAGCTAAGGTTAGGGGATAGGAGCCAGTCTCTGACCACCCACCTCCCTGCATTGCGTTTTTCAAAAGGAGTGGCTATATTTCATCCTAAATTGAAGCAGTTAAACTGATGCAGGCTACTGGGCTAATCCCAGCTACAGACTGATCTGCTTGCTGTGTAGTTCTATGGCTCTCACAGATACATTCTACTGATTAAAACAAAGCAAAACAGAGTTTGGAGAAAGAGGATGGCTCCGTCTAGCCCCACAATGATGAATAGGGTCAATCTTCAGACCTTCTCCACCACACCCCACCATAGGCCACCTTGTCTCTTAAAGCTTCTCCACATACCCTCATCTCTTAGTCCCTGTTCTTCTCAGCTTCCCTTTGTCCACACCTCTGTTATGCCACTCATCATAAAGTCCTTGAGTTATTTGTTGGCTCCCCTTCTGGAGTAGAAGCCCTTCAAGGGCAGGGGCTATGCTCTAATCTTTCCAGTGTTCCCACACGTGGCCCAGTGCACGTGTCAGAGAAGGTGCTTTGTGTATGGTTGATGCATGTGTGAAAGTCTAAATATATAACAGACAAATGACCAAGAGAACTCACAAACTTATATAAATGTATCTCTGTTTGGGAATGACAGGCTTAGTGTCATGGCAGCATCAAAGAGAGGAACCGATCTTCCTTTCTCTTCCAGTAAATGTTTCATTTCTCTCCAAAACACAATGCTCTCAAACCATCACCAACAAATAAAACCCTATCATGGATAATGTGTAACTAAAAGATAAACAAAAAGAATTAAATTAATCTGTGCTTTTTCAGAGTTGTACTTAGGAAGCAATCAAGTTATTTTACCTGAGCTAATTATAAGACTTCTTTGCATCTTGAATATTGCATACAAAAAAAGGTCTCTGATTCATCAGTTTTGCCAGTGGGAATAATTAAAAGTGTGCATATATAGTAATATTCCTACCAAATTATTTCTTCTCATAAATATTTATCCATAGCCTAAGTTTGTTGATGCTGAGCGGCATCAGTATTCCTTGACTTTGGTTCACATACTGCCCCCTTGACTGTACCAAAATTCTGATTCACAAATGAGATTTTTGGGAGATATTGGACTGTATCTTGTTCATGTCTCTATCCTTAGTTCTAGCACAGAGCTTGGCACAGAGCACGCACTCTCTGTAGAATGAATGAATGAATGAATGGAATACTAAGTGAGGCAGTAGCCTTCAGGGATGATTTGCATCAAAGTGAAGTTGTACAAAGCAAGCCCCATTCACTGCTATTCTCTTTGTGACCTGTTGGCTACAGCATCCCTGAGCTTTTAGGGCAACCCGATCCACCCACCCAACCAGCATGCCCCTTTCAAAGGCAGTTGTGCTACCCCTGCATGTGCCCAGCACTAGCCAGAGGGGTTGGTGCAGTCTGTGTGTCAGCCCAAGCCAGGTGGACACACCAACAACCACCTGTGGCTTTCCTGGGTGGGCATCTTGAGCCCACATGTTTCACATCATCATGCACCTACCTGTCAGTGCTGGAAACTGCACTAAGAAATATTGATACTGCACAAAATCATTAAACTGGGGCCATGGCTAAATACTTATTGGGGCAGACAGTGACGCCATGTTTGCTCAGAAAATTCAATCAAGTTCTGTGCAATTACTGCGGGTTTAGATTTGAACAAATTAGCTCTTAGTCATAGAATTTCAGAATGTCAGAGCTGGAAGGACCCTTAGAATTCATCCGGCCCTGTGTAACCCTGAGGTTTTCAAACTTCGCTTTTGCAAGAAACACTTTTTAACCAAGGAAATCTTATGACGCTCCTCTTACTCGAGTAGGGATCCTGATGCGTAGCCTCCCCTTCTCATCTGCTTCAAACTGCAGAGGTGAAAAGGAAAGTCCAGTGAAGTTAAGGAGGATCATGGCATACTGGGGGAAAAAGTTCTAGTCTTGGAGTAAGCATCAAGACAGACTCCAACTCTGTGTTAGCCAAGGGACTGATATTCAGTCGTTTACACTCATGCCTGAAAGGGGTCTTTTGGATATGATCATTTAAACTGGTGAGAGAAGTCTGTTCCCAGGAGGGGAGATACAGTAACTAACAGACCCTAGCAGGAGTGAGTTTATTTAAATGAAACACATTGCTACCAACCTTCATGAAGCCTAAAGAAAAATCCCAAGGGTGGGAGACCCAGAATGGTAAATGCCCATTATTAGAGTATTTCACAAAGGCAAAGAGAAGAGAGTAGGAAAGGAGCTAGGCCAAACCTCCTCCTCCCACCCTGGTGGATGTCTGCTTGTGTACCTGTCTATTCACATGTCCATCTTTTGAGGTGCCTTTGTGTCATCTTTCACAGTGGTATATCTAGTTCCTTGGCAGTTTCTGCCTGGAGCCTATCCTGTGTTCAGGTTGGCTCTCTCTTTCTGCTGTGAGTCTGTCGCTGCCTACATCTCAAATCTTTCAGCTCCTCTGTGTCCAGATGTGCTATTTTTCATGTGCTTATTTGATTCAGAATGTGTGTCTGTGTCTGACTGATTTTACACCACAAGAATGGCTAACAGTGAAAGTGGGAGGGAGGGAGAAAAAAAACCATTTCTGGTCCTCCTAAAGACTTCAATCTCCTCTTCTATGTTTCTTAACATTTTT